CCCTTTTTTCAAAATGGCATAAGATCCACGATCGACGAAATCCGGATACGTTCGCAATGACTTTATCACGCGCCATAAAACTCAAGCTTTCATAATTCATCTAGTCTTGAATAATGTATACGAATGTTTCTAGATCGTCTGGAATAGGACCTAATCGACTTCCTCCTAACATCTTGAATGTGACTTTTTATGGTGCGCATTATTAAATGGTAAGTGACATGCATTTTTTTAATATCGAGTAATCTTCTTCATGACTGCTTCATAATTAAATGCAATTGATCAGATCCCGTCAAGATTCGTTGTTTCGGCATGGCCGTAATTGTCAAGATCGCGCTATTGTCCCAATTGCCGCAATATTTACATCTAAGAATGCTGCAGTAGAAGATAACCGCGACATATGTGGATGATGATCAAATCTAATAAAAATAATAGTAATTTCATTATAACGTACTAAGATAACCTCTTATGATAAATCTTTAAGAAATAAGCAATCGGTGAGATCATTTGATTCGTGAATCTTAACAGTTTAGAAAAAAAGTAGATCCCTTTTGTACAGAATTCTGCCTGCGTGACTTTCTCGGTCTTAATCACTCTCCTGACGCATTGCCGCACCAAAATTTGGCGTTGATTATAGCCTCTAGAAATAATTTTATCAGAAACAGATACGTTATACTTTTTAAAAAGTGTCCTTTGGGACTGGCAACAGTCCTTGCAGCTCGACTACAATGTATATCAAAATGGAGAGACTAATAGCAGATTCTAAACCCCTTTCAACGTGAAATTTTGTTTATTAACTTCTACTTGTGAGCTTACATTTATTTGATCCGCGGTCTATCGATTTCTATTCTCAAACTTCATAACAGGCGCCAAAATTTTAATCGTCCCTCAAGACGGCTACCGAATATTATCTTCTTCGAGTTATTTCGGTTGGTAGTACCCGAAACTTCTCAGTTTTAATAGCATGATCTTTGCCTATATGGTATTGCTTTCAAAAACGACCTGCGTTGGCTTTAAAGGGAACCAGGGAAGGGATGAATTTACATTTTTAGATCGATCGATCTTCCTTTATTTTTGTCATTAAAGCCCCTTTTAAAACACAGTTGATCGAAATATTCTCTATCTCCAATTATCTGCAAATACCCCTAGTTTTTGATGCTTCACCCTCAGATTCTGTTTTTATCTCTTTATACAAGCTTTAAATAATCACTGTGAAACACTGAGGCATTAAAAATTCTGTGTGCGCGTATAGCTGTTATGGACTGTATTTCAGGAGATTGCTAATGTGATTACGATTTTTCACTAGCGCCCATACGACTAGCTATCGTAAACGATGATTCACATTCGTGCATTATCATTACTTCCTCACCGTGTGCACCCGTTTTTATGGCGAATTGAACTCTTCGAGGTGAACTTAGGTCGATGCTGATCATGATCGTGATTAGATTGGGTTCGACAATTATTTGAGATACAACTTCTCTAGATCAGCTCGATTATATGGGCTATCGATTCTAGGGTTGCGGTTATTGGTTCGAATCCGATTATCTCCATATTCTTATTTATATTATTAAAGATTTTATGCGAAAAAAATAGCAAAAAATATTAAACAACGTTATTTATTTTTACAATTTAAAAAAAAAGATTAGCTATAAAAATTATTTCTAAAAATTTAAATCTAAAAAAACAAATACGATGGAAACTACAACAGAAATGGTTTTTTTTCATTACAAAATTTATTATATGAACTAGCAACACTCGTTGATTGAATTTTATACCGAGATTTTTTTTAAATATCCAAAAAATAATATCTTCTACGGCTGATAAAAGTATGGCCTTATATGTAACAAGAGAAACCAATTTTTTTTAAATTATACAAATCAAGTACGAGATTCTGAAAAATTTGAAAAAACCATGAAAGAAATAGTTTCTTTATTAAACGATAAATATTAAACCACTAATTTATAAAAAACCAAAGTAGGGCAGAAGGTTTTTATAAATCAGTGTATCAATTTTTTTATTAAATCAAAATAAAAATGTAAGGTAAAAAGTCCCTGCTAGCAACAGTTGACTTTCTACGAGTGTGTTTTTTAAAACGCTAATGCCAAGGTCTAAATTTCTGGCAGATTATTCACTGATTTGCATCTTACAACATTTACGTTTTCTTACAGAATTACAAATGAAAGGTTGCGCTACAACCATCACCACCGCTTGCCGTCCACTCGTTACCGCCAAACCAAAAAAAAGAAGGAGATTGGCACTTAGAGGAATTTATAGACTGTTATTTACGCAGGCAGTCCAAAGACTCACTGTTCCTGCAAAAGACTGTGTTAATGCCTTCTATATTAAATGCAATTAATTTTAACACAGTCCTTGCGATTTGATGGTATAAATTGCTTACCGTTGACACCTTCATCTTTTGAAGTGAGTTTTTTGTAAAGGGTAAAATGGTCGGGTGAAAGCCAAGGCCAAGTGAAACTACTGTTCTTTTGGTTTGCAAACTCAAACAGTATTGGTGGAGGTCCTCGTTGCACAGGTATTTCGCGTTGTACTTCTGGTTTTTTTGTGATCTGTTAGCTAACATCATCACACAGTCGTGCACAGGTGCACCATTTAAGGCAAGTATTAAGTCTAAGAACATCGTCAGCAACTGGAACAAATTTTTTTTTTTTGGTGCATTGTGTACGCATATCTCTTTTCTTCTACTAATTTGACTAGCATTTTCACTCCTGCACGAGTTTTTCATAGCAATTTTCGATAAATTTACCCGGACAGTCCACTACATACAGAGAAAATACGTTATGGAGCTGTAATATTACCTGTACATCTGCCAGAAGCTAATAAAAACTGAAATAAACTGGTAAAAGATGAAAATTTGATAAAAGTGGAGTAGAACTTGATATTACTGCCAAAAATCTTGGTAAAAGTTTTGAAAGCTGCTAAAAATCTTCAGGACTTTTTACCTAACATCCCTAATCTATTTGAGTCATCCTGATCTCGTTTGAAATCGCCTTGTGAAAAATTATATAAGCAAGTTGCTTGATTACATAAATATTGTGTTCAAAAACGACTGATGCAAAAAGAGTGGTGATCATATATGAACCAATACTAGAAAAAGTAACAAAGGCTAAACAAAGCGACTACACGCAAATGCTCGACACTAAGTAGCTATGGAAATATTGCTCATTTCGATAACATTATTATTTATTTATTGGTTATCCGTAACACATGATAAATATGTTAGTAAGAATACATGTTTTATCAGTGGCAGAGAAATCTCCCTCATCTGAAGTTCTATTAACCGTTGTAGTCAGCAGTTTTCTGTTCATTGTAACTTACCGAGCACGATTATCCTGTGTCTTTCTTTTCTCAAATTTGTTTAACAACAGTGTTAACACCGTAATTATTCAGGTTAAACACGCAAACATAAATCAATACAGGTATATATAAAACCAAACGGACAACATATTCTCAAGCTCCCAACCACCAAAATGGCCACGTTAATATACACAAGAGGCGAAGGGGACAGGCTAAATCGCGCTTATGACGATGTGTAATCTAGACCAAAGCGTTATTCACAAACGGATACACAGACACACATATACAGGAGATAGTTCGACATTCATCTTGCGCATAAAACTCAGGGGCTCGCAATGAGAATAATCAATAAATGAGACAATGTACCAAGTGTACCAAAAGTTATCCACAGATACAAAATCAGTTTGTGTATCTGCACACCACACTAACTGTTGCGGAGCTACTTAGCGCTCCTTAGCAGAGGAAGTCTTAGAATTAAAGAGTCTCTTAATTATAACAAACTTACAACAACGTACAGTCGTTCAAGCGTACAAGCCTAACAATTCAGGTTGCAAAAAGATTACGATTCACAGAATCGCTTACTAAGTATTCACTACTAAAAACACAAGAGTAAACGCCTTTACAAGACTAATGCTCTTATCAACACACTACGCCTATACTAGGCACTTGTTTCCAACGATTTAAAAGGGGAATGGAACTTAATTTGTTCTTTAACTACGGTAATAAAACCATAGAACCTTGTCTGACTGACTCTACATTGCGATCCTATGACAGAAGTCGTATCCCTGATGCTTACCCGGCAAGGTACGGTACTACCGTTGCTACGTGGTACCAATACTGTACCTCTCAGATCAACCGATCTTTACTAGGTGTGGACACATAACATAACCGGTTCAATAATCGCGTGTAACCCCGTTACATTTTTCTTTAGACGAAACAGTGTTGAGGAAAATGTTGAGATAAGTGTAATGAAACTAGACAGGGGTCCTGGTCTTGGCCAGACATAGCTGATTGATATCATGGCCTGAATCAACCCATGAGCAGAATATCACCAACTAGAACGAATATCATCCGACAAGTATACTTTAGGATGAACGTTGATATTAATAGAATGTCATAATTATACTTACACGACGTAAGTATCACGTATCGGGCACCTCGTTACAAGTACGGTTGCGCACAGATGTGTGAGCTCGCTTGCCGACCTTGTGTTGGTTCTCGACGCTGACCAACGAGTTCACCCCACAAACTATTGCTCTTCATCCCTGCGTGGCATTTTAGTGCGTCAGCGCGAGTCGTGGCGCTGGGCGAGGACTCTACAATACTTGTGCTCAATACGAACGTTGCATTTACAAATCTATTAAACGTTTAAAACGTATAAACTGTCAACTGTTATCGAGTTTCATTTAAAACGCTTCCATACCAAACAGGGAATGGCACTCGACGATACTGTCGTCTTAAATCCGTTTCGTTGCTGTGTATTTTTGCACATCAAATAGTCGCTGTAAAGTAGCACGAAGCTGCATCTTACAATTCTGTATTGCATCAGCGTATCTAATTATACCACCACCAAAAACCATTGGCACGTTGCGCGTCCTGTCTCCTTTCAGTCTTTGATCGCTAGGTGTGTTGTATATCAAACTACCGAACGCAAGTCCACTGATCGTTTCAATTCTCTTCGGTAGAACATGTTTAACTTTATTGTGCCCTCTGCCGACCTCATCGTCACCTTTGAGCGGGCCCATGACCGTACCAAAAAACTCATTCTCACTCCTTTCGACGACGCAAAAAGTGGTCACGCTACAGAAGTACCGCTATTTCGCGCCGACGAAAACGTTCGTGGAAAACTGATTGTAAAAGTGAATTCAGGCAAACGATTGGAACACTCGGGGCTGACACTGGAAATGCTTGGTTTCATCAAAGCGCCAGGGGACCAAAAGGCTGGACACGAATTTACAAAGTGTTCACGGGAATTGCAATCCAGTGGAACTGTCATTGAAGGGGACGAACATTTTGCTTTTGACTTTGCTCATGTGGACATGCCCCACGACAGTTACTATGGCCGTAAAGTGGAACTGAGGTATGTTCTTCGAGCTACTTTGTCGAGGGGCAAGTATGCGAGTGACATTGTACTTGAACAAGATGTGTGGATCCAACACATCGCTCCCTCGCCTCCATTGAATGGCTCCATCAAGATGGAAGTGGGCATTGAAGATAGTCTGCACATTGAGTTCGAGTACGACAAGTCGCATTACCACCTCGAAGATGTAGTAATCGGCAAGATATCTTTTCAATTGATGCAGATCAAGATCAAGCACATGGAGCTGGCAATCTTGTGTCTGGAGAGTGTGGGGTCCGGACCTCAGCAACACAGTGAGCTTGAAACTATCACGACATTTGAGGTCATGGACGGTGCACCTAGTCAAGGGGAGAGTATTCCTGTCCGCATGTACCTCGCTCCTTACACACTCACACCCACGTACCATAACGTGCAGAATCAATTCTCTGTCAAGTATTTCTTGAACCTTGTGTTGGTGGATGAAGAAGATCGCCAGTACTTTAAACATCAAGAAATCACGCTTTGGCGTACGACTGTCGGATGAATGGACGTTACTTGCTTTATGTGACGTCAAGGGTGGGTCACAGCAGCAACGTGACATATACAATGGGTAAAACAAGTTCGAATGTTCAAGCAATGCATTTGCTGAATGCGTCGTAATGAAAAGCTTACGCATGAGTCGTCAAACGGAATTTGTATTCTTCGCTGTCATTACCACTGACAAAAGGTTACTGCCGTTGACAAGAGCAAGCTGCTAACAATCTAGGCCCGAAACTCTGGATAGCAGCCAGTGCGTACTTACACGTGCCTCTTTTCAACGCGAGCGCGAGCGCGATCGGTCGCGTCGACTGCTTCGGCTGCTGGGGCGACGCGGGGACCGAGAGCGAGACGGCGAGCGTCTACGACTGATACGCCGTGGCGGGGATCTTGAACGCGAGCGCGACGCGGACTGCACGCGTCCTCCAGTCTCCTCTCCTCGGATCCGAACGCGGTCTCCGTCCAGGTCCGTGCCGTCCAATTTACGAATTGCACGATCCATTTCCTCCTGTGAAGCAAATGAAGCCGTGCCATTCCCGCGGCGATCGACGTCGCTATGGACAACGTCTCCCCCTTTCCGTAGAAAGTCCTTAAGGTCTTGCCAGCTCATGGTATCAGGTAAACCCGTAAGCTTGACACGAAATTGAGTGCCCCGAGGACTGCGAAAAAGGTCACGAATAGATCGATTAGTACGCTTGTACTTCCCCCACAAAACATCAGTCATCTATCAACAAACCGAGCTTCGTCCGCGCCGCGGGACATTTCCACTCGAAGTCGACTGCCACCAAAACTTGCGCTGTCACACAACATCATGCAAAAGCCGGCAGCAATGAGTCTCGCGATCATCATTATGATGATGCATGACGCAATCATTATTAGTCTCTACTTGTTCATCGTCCGCACGGCGTCACTAGCATCTTGTTCGTTATCATATGTCTGAACGGAAAAAAAAGAACAAGATAAAAAAAGACAATCAGTACAAACCACATCTTAAAAAAACCCATCGGTTTACTCCACGCGTGTCAGCAGCTCGCACAATGAACGCGAAAGGCGGAGGACGCGCTGGGAACTTGATGCGCACGCTAGCGATGCGGCCGAAGCGGTCAAACTTGTCGGACAGGTCCCGCTCCCGCACGTCTTCGGGCAAATTGCCCACAAACACTCGCGCCATTGGGGTCGATTGTCAACCTTTGATAGCACGTTGGCCGCAAACGCAAAACCCCGCGTGTGAGTGACTTATAGTGACGTTGGATTGTGCCGCGCCACCGAATGTACATCTGAACTGTACGATCAATTGGGCGTTTTTAACTCTGCTTACCACTACGTCACCAAAGACTGCGCGAAGTCGATAGTGTTCGGCATCTACTAAATCAGTGGTACTCGAACTCTAGCAAGAGGAGAACATGGAGCTGAGTGGAACGCAAGACACTGGTCCGCGTATTGACGAGCATTTTGACCGCATCCGTGCCAACCTGATTCGCTGCGAGGAGTGCAATGAGAACTTTTTCTTTGACTTTTTGCGGCACCCCCGGTGCGTCCATTATAATGGCCAATATTTGTACTTGTCTACTGCCACAAGTCGGTGTTTCTTGTTTTACGAACAATATGATTGAACTGCTTTTTTGTATCCAGCTACTTTGTAACGCATTTTAAAACGTGCCATTTGAAAAATGTGCTGTACCGCTTTAATGGCCATACGGAAGAGGAAAACCAGCGCGTGCGGTTCGGGCCTCGACGCAAAAAAGATGCCACTGCGTGGTTTGGCCAGCTCAAGTCCACCGAAAAGAGAATGGTAAGAGAAGCTGGGCTGCATGGACATTAAAGTGCACTAACGCATACCATCGTCATCATTGTGTGTACCTCTTTTTGTAATATTTGCGGTTTTTATCCTTGTTGCTAAGTATTCTTGCTATTGTTGTTGCTATTCTTTATTGTGTACTGTGGCATCATGATGTCGTTGACCTCTATAAATATCGTAGATTTCCATGCAAGACAACAAATGGGGCGAAATTGCTGAACGAGAGTGCTGGTCGTGTCGACTGTAGGGCAATCGCTTGCTTATGTTTTTTGTCGAGAGAGCACACGATGACAGTGATGTTACTCCTTTTTTTGCTGACCATGTAGATGCAAACTTGTTCGGAAAACGAGTGAGGTGCCCCATGCCTTTGAACCGAATGAATTAGGCCGACGGCAAGCCTTGCTTCATCTTCGGCAATTTCACGAAGTTGCGTACAACGATTTTCTCAGGATGCTGCCGGCCGTGGGGAGGTCTTTATCTTGCCAAACGCAATTAAGCTTATCGAGTCACGGGCCAGTATTGGTGGCTGAACATGGAACAAATACCACTGGAGTAACAGGAGGAAGTTTGGTATCTCGACAACCAGCGGCCGTTTCTGGGTGGACGTGGCTAAGTAGCGGGAATGGGACGCCGCCTTCATCAACAGCTCCGAGGCATTCTGCTGAAGCTGACCGCAGCCGAATTCGTCGAATGAAAGCGACACCTGAAGTTAAAAAAGCTGAGGCAGAGCGTAGTAAACGTCGACGAGAGCGATTGACGCCTGCTCAACGGCAAGCAGATGCGGAAAGACGAGTGAGAAAACGACAGCGAATAGAGGAACGCGCACGAAGTCGAGTGCGTCGAGCTGAAGCATCCCAAGATGCTCGAGAACGGGAGGTGAAGCGCTCCCGTGAACGTCGTCAGAATGCGACCGAGCAACAGCGCAACCGAGAGGCGCAAAGGAGCCGCATGCGACGTCAAAATGCGACTGAAGAGCAGCGTCTTCGTGAGCGGGAGCGCTGTCGCCGCCGATACGAGATCCAGAAACAGCAGAAGCTGCTTGCTCAAGAGTCCGGTACGACGGTTGGTGTAGCGACACAGACGAGCACACCTGCCGCTTCGGTCTCAGCTCAAATTATTCCAACTGGTAGAAGTGACCAGCACACGCGATTATCAGTGAGCCAAGTTCAGCCCAAAGACATCGAGCATCAGAACCGACTTTTGTTGCAGCAACAGGCAGGACTTGGCCAGCAAATTCGATCGCTCTACGCCTCATTATCGCGTGCCTCTTCATCTCACATTGATCTATGAGCTCGCGCGCACTACTTAATGGTGCTGTGCTCTCTGGATGAGAGAGGCTATTTACATTAAGCTCGAGAACTGTGCTCGCGGTGATGGTATCATCATCCTGTCAAAACTGGTTTACCGTTTTCTACACAGCGGTGGTAAAAATTCGTGGTGCCCGACGCCTTCTCGTATACTGCGTGTGGTCTCGAGCAGTGTGCGCAAGCCTGAGCGACCGTGCCTGACTTCCGTACGCGTTGTGGTTGCAAACTGTAAATATCGTGTGCAGTCGATCCAAGATCGTGGCAGCCGTTTTTAAGCCCATTTGCATGGCACTGGCGATGGAAAGTTTGTGGTCGGAGCTGTAAGGTCATTGTGCTCGAAATCGCTTGCGCCACGGCACAAGGAAAATAACATGGATCTATTCCACAGCTTCAGTAGGCGAAGTAAAGAGGACAAAAAAGACCATGGTCTCAACTGTACCATTTTTCGTGCAACCAGTTCGTGAACGGCAAGCTCGACACCCTCAGATTGAAGAGTATCCATGATCTTGGAATCACTTTCGTCGGCGCTCGAGTCATACACACGTCGGACCCGTTGTTAATTACCTGGCAAGCCAATCAACATTGACGTACGAGGATACATCTTCTTACGGCGATATTCATGAGACTGTCGCCAGCGCCGCCACCAGTCGCAGCGGCCGGAGCAGCTAATATTGGGAATTCTATTCGCAGAGCCACAGCTGAATTTCCAGCCATCGTTTTGCCCTGTTTGTCGGCAACGGGTACAATGCTTCGCAACTGCGCTTGCCTTCACACATGAATCAAATTGCGCCTCGCCAATCATTTTGCAATGTAAATGGCAGCCAACTCGGTGTCTACGTTTGGTCTGAGCCAAGTTGGCGTTATAAACCTTGGGTTTGGTGGAGGTGCAAGTTTACTGATTCACTCGCTCAAGCTAAACAGCGGTGCATTCAGTTTTGCCGGTCGGATGGACTGACCGTTGTAAAACACTCTTGAGCGCAGAATCATTTTGCTGGTTCTTCTACGAACGCCTACTAGTTTGGTCCACAACAAGCACAGCTTTATTCCGATCGCAGGAAAAAGCAAGGACTGACTAGCCAAGCATAATATATCGCACCACGACGAGGTCATCGCAGCAATTACATCACAGTGTTGTGTAAAGATAATTATCATTGTAAAAGCCTGCTTTTTTCCGGATGTGAAGTTCGTTTGTAAGACGAATTGCTCACTTGAGCTGTATGATATTGAACTTGGGTCGTCATCTCTTTATCCAGAAATCAACCTGGAGTGCTAGTGGTAAAACGAAAACTTTGTTTGGTCTCTGTCACTCGAGGCCACATGAGCTGTAGACAAGGGATTAAAGTAAAGCGCTATTGCCATTAGCAAACCGCTAGCTTATATTTCAGTACGGCAATATTGCAATACTACGTCAGCAACTCTGTGCCACAAGCACGCGTACTCCTGTATGTGAGCGTATAGTAAACCAGACCTGGACCTCCGACGGGGCAGCAGCAACAACAGCACTAGCGTCAGGGCTAATGGTGCTGCCAGTGGTGCTCAATCGGACGCATTTCGCTGACCACCTAACGAGCACTAAATCCTATCGCTGATATCCTCACGCAGCCCAAAGCTGAGACCAACATTCCTTTCGGGCTCCTGAGTCGTCCCACAGTCCAAGTTGCAACCGGCTCGTTTCTTCTTTGACTCAGGGTACACTAGCAAAAAGCTTTCGCTCTCGTTCAAAACGTAATCAGGTACCCGGGCGCGCAGCGTGGCATCAATCAGTCGGTTGTTGTCTCGGATCCGGACAGATACGTATTGCCGTGTCACGCTTGCTACTTGGTGTGTGATGGTACTCACATACTGCTGTAGCAGCTCTTCAGCGGAACCTGTGTCACGCACTAGCTTTTCCACAATCAGCTTGAGACCGAGAGCCGTGCGAGCTACCGCTTGCGTCTCTTTTTGCGTTGTAGAAGCAACGGTCTGTATGTCTTCACGCAACACCTTCACGTCATCTTTCTGCTGATCCAGCTGGGCTCCAAGCTCGTTGAGGTGAACGAGCTTTTTCAATTCAGCAGACAGTTCCATCACTTCTAGCTGCTGCTTGTTACAGGATGTTTCCAGCTGCGTTAGATGGGCCTGAAGTCTGGTCATCTCGTTGGTCGTAGCAGCGATCGAACACGATGAAGTGGATCCAAAACGTGAGCCACCCAACTCCCCTTCGACTTGCTGCAACCATTCCTCAACTTTTCCAAAACGTGCTTGTACGCGACTCTCCAGAGCAACCCGCTCCAAACCTTCAAGACGCAAGCATTCGTCAAAATGCGTGTTCAATCTTGTCAACGAAGCCTCGTGCTCCACCGCGAGCGCATTTAATACAGTTGAAAACGGGAGCCCCGACTGTGGGATAGAGTTACAGGCGCCAACAGGCTCTCTTTCTTCCTCTTTGTCAAGAACGGTTGGCGTGAACGACTCCACGTTTGCAGCAGGAGCTACAGCAAGCAATACCTCATCGCCCACTGACTTGCTGCTGACAGTGAGCGCAGCTTCCGCACCAGCAACGGCTACAGCAACAAGTATTCAAGTTAAGATGTAAAATAAACTAACCCTCACACGTACATGTTATAGAGCACATACCTGTCCGGACCTTCGCATCGATCTCTTCGTGCAGCGTCTGTACCAATGTCTTCAGCTGGCTGTTTTTACCGTGTTTGCCAACCGGCACACCGAGCACTTTAGCAATCTGCGCTAGTTGCGACTGGAACGCACTTTGCCTTCCTTCAAGCGTCGACAATCGGTCCCCCATTGTATTTCCCGTTTCGTCCATTGCACGAGATCTTGTCTTCTCTTTCTGAGCACTCAATAAAGACTCCACTTGCTTCTCGAGCTCTGTAACGCGCCACGCGCAATTGCAACGCGGTCTTGAGCTCGTCAACGACGTCGCACCATCTCCTTGTCGTTGCTGCATTTGCACCAGTACAAACTCCTGCAATGCTCTTGCCAGCTCTTGACTTGTGCTTTGTATCTGATCAGCATGTGTCTGTCCCTGGGCCGCAAAAAGGTCAGGTAATACTGGAGTTGGCACTGCTGCCGCAGACTCTCCTGCCATTATCGGCGCCTGCAGATAGCTCAAGTACGACGGCAGGGCCTCCTCTTCTCGTTCTTCTTCTTCTCTCTCTGGTCGGCTGAAGAACATTCGCGCTCTAGTCTTGTCCCGAGTCATTGACCCGATGACTCCATAATTGTCAGGTACAGTGTCACGCGTATGTTCCATCGAAATCTCCTGTTTTTCTCCCTGTGGCGAGCTACAAAACTCGTTTGCATTAGTTATAGCTGGACCAGCGACAGCAGACGCACTTAACGATGTCGACCCGGTGGGCAATGTGTTAAGTGCGCAGCTGTCATCGGTAGAACTCGTAAACGGCGGCAGATCGCGCCGACGCTGCTCCAAGAGACTTGTGGCGCTACTGCGTCGTAGAGGTGGATCTATTGGGCTATGGATGGCGCGTCTTGGACGTCGAGGGAACAGCTGCTCTGCGTCGAGAGAGGAGGACGGCGGCGGCGACCACATTGAGAATATATCGACAACCGAGCGTGTGAGTTGTTTAAATTAAAACGTGCTGCTGATTCGCTGTTTAAACACACTGACCTTCGTGAGCGATGTAGGTATTACACAAATTTCATCACCGTGCAACAGGTCAATTTCGATAACGTATTTTGCAATTAACCTCAATTGTACGAAAACAATGCGGCACAGACACGCTAAATCGCTGGAAGCTAAGCAGAATTGTGCAGATTATAAATCTACTTACCCCACTTTGTTGCAAGGATGGATGTAAATTGGAACCGACAATGGAAGCTAGATATGTGATAATCCCGCCGCACGGGGAAAATCGTCGGACGTCAGGGTGATGCAGCTGGGTAAACTGTCGTGATAGGCGAGTGGAACGAATGACAACGACATGGATACTCTTCTATTGATGAACCCGTTAAGGGTCGTGTTAATGACAGGAATTACCGCTTCACCGCCTTGGCTCAAAAGGTCTGGTCATGGCAATAACTTCATCTGGTAGCACGTACATGTATTATGGCTCTGAACGGCCAGCATCTTGACGGGTATTAAAAGGCGGGCTGACTGAAAAAATCTCCCTCATAGGCCTTTTTGAGATACTGACTCGCACAGCGCCACAACGTGCGCCTACACACCTCGTCACTTGACGAAGACAAGCCAAAAACAGTGTAACATTTTCATCTTCACCCGTTTGTCTCGAGGGCAGACGACTCGACGCCATCCTCAACTTTTCTGGCTCTTCGAAATAAAATGTAGCATATCGATTGTTGAGTGATTTCTTTCGAAGGCATCTCGACCTTTATTCGACCTCAATAAAGCTCTCTATAATTTACGGATAAATCTATCCAAAGAGCTTTACATCCCTTTATCAAGAGATTGACAAAAGGTCCAATCCAATTGCAGCATTTCGATCGCTACTTCACTCGCCAGTCAAATGGATACGAACGATGCACCTCCTCCTGCTTTGCCCGCGTCTACCGCTGCCACTCCTGACCACGTAGCAATCGCACCAAGTGCAACAATACCGCAATTATCTGATGAACCTGAAAATTATGTTATGGCTGCCAACGGCCTCGAGAGTAGCGAGGACGACAGCGATAACGACGACCATCGGGGTCGCAAGCGGCGTCGGTTGCGACGTCGTGACGCGCCTTCTTCGCCACGTTCACATCAGTTGATAAACGGTGTTTATGAAGAAAACGAAGCTGATGAGGATGAATTTGTGGCGCGAGACGAGACACAAACGTACGCTGACGGCAATGAGGAGCAGGTGGAGGAGGAGGTTGAAGACGAGATTGTGGACGAGCTGGACATTGAAGAGAGAGAGAAAGCGTACTTTAGTGAAGACGATATCAACGACGAGGAGGATGGAGAAGATTTGGTGGAAAGTGCAGAGCTGTAGGGTATTATTGTCGGTTGTTGTTGTGTTTTCATTTATTTATTTTAGGTAGTAGGTAGAGGAAGCTGTAAGAGCTGCAGTGCTGATGATAACATTGTGCTACTGCTGTGCTGTTATTGGGATTGTTGTTGTTGCTAGGGATTATCGGCGCATGGAGACACTCGATCGATATGATACGAGTATGCTGGATACGAAGCAATATGGGGAAATGGATATCGATACAAGGAGGGCAGTAGAGGACGAGCTGAATCGACGCGATGCACGAGAAGGACGCATAGCTCAGGTGTTTGCAGACGATCAGAAGATGGAACATGACGACGCTCACAGACGACGTGTGCGACGTTTACATGAAGGAGAAGAGGGTTATGACGAGATGGGTGGCGTTGCCGATGATGAAGAGCTGATGAATTTAGAACACTTTGACGTGCCGCTAAGAGAGTGGATCGCCACAGAACGACCGCGAGCAGAAATCAAGCGGCGGTTTCGGAATTTTCTCAATACGTTTGCAGACGCCAAGGGCAGGTTGGTCTATCATGAAAAGATTGTGCAACTTGCGCAGCGCAACGAGCAGTCACTGGAAATCGAGATTGGCGATGTGATTCAAAGTATGTCGATGGTGGCAGCGTGGTTGGTGGAAGCTCCGAAGGATATGTTGGTGATATTAGATGAGGTCGCTCTAGAAGTCGTGCTGGCGCTGTTTCCGTACTACTCCACGATTCACCAGCAGATCTATGTGCGCATTCTGGATCTTCCTGGTACTGAGCGATTGCGGGACCTGCGTACTGCGCATCTGAACTTCCTCATCAAGGTATCAGGTGTCGTGACTAGACGTACGTCAGTGTTCCCGCAGCTCCAGCTTGTCAAAGTCAATTGTCCAGGCTGTGGTGCCGTCCTAGGCCCATTTACACAACAAGGCCAGCAGGAAGTCAAGCTAAATGCTTGTCCGGAGTGCCAGTATCGAGGCCACTTTCCTGTTAACAGTGAACAGACAGTGTATCGTAACTTCCAGAAACTAACGTTGCAGGAATCACCGGGTAGTGTGCCGCCTGGTCGTGTGCCGCGCTCGAAGGACGTGGTTTTGGTTGGTGATCTTATCGACAAGGCTAGGCCAGGTGATGAGATCGCTGTTACTGGTATTTACGTCAACACACCCGACCCTACGCTAAACTTGAGAGACGGATTTCCAGTATTTCGCACTGTCATCGAGGCAAACCATGTTGAGCGGCGTGCTGATGTGCTTGGTAGCCAGCTGCTCACAGCGGAAGACAAGAAACAGATTTTGCGTCTTGGTAAACAACCAGACATTGCTCAGCGAATTATCAACAGTATAGCGCCGTCCATTTACGGTCACCAGCAAGTAAAGACCGCGTTAGCTCTGGCGCTTTTTGGTGGAAAGCCCAAATTCATAAAGAACTCACGCGTGCGTGGCGACTTGAATGTACTAATGGTGGGAGATCCTGGTACGGCCAAATCGCAATTTTTGAAGTTTGCGAAGCAAACTGCACCGCGTGCCGTTTATTCTACCGGCAAAGGTGCCTCTGCGGTGGGTTTAACAGCAGGTGTGTCGCGTGACCCTTTTACGAAGGAGTGGGTTCTGCAAGGTGGCGCTTTAGTGTTGGCAGACAACGGCGTCTGTCTGATTGATGAGTTCGACAAGATGAATGAACAGGATCGTACGAGCATTCACGAGGCGATGGAGCAGCAGAGTATATCTGTGTCTAAGGCCGGCATTGTTACTTCTCTGCAGGCACGGTGTTCTGTTATTGCTGCCGCTAATCCCATTGGCGGCCGCTATAACGCTGCTCGAACCTTTGCAGAGAACGTGGAGCTCACGGATCCCATCCTGCAGCGCTTTGACCTGCTTTGCGTTTTGCAAGACAAGGTCGATCCCGTTGACGACGAGCGACTTGCCGATTTTGTAGTTTCCAGTCACATGCGCAGCAATCCGAAAAAGAAAGCTGACGAAGAACATGAGAAAGGAGCTGATCAAGAAGATGAATTGAGCGCGATGACGCAGTCCTTGCGATTCGGAGACGATAGTGCGAGTATGACGCTCGACCAGGAGCTGTTACGGAAGTACATGTTGTACGCACGTACTTTTGTCAATCCTGTACTCGCTAGCGGACTAGACACGGGTAAAGTGGAGGCATTTTACGTACAACTTCGGAGAGCTTCGCAGCATACAGGTGCAGTACCTGTCGCTGTTCGTCACTTGGAGTCACTGTTTCGTATGGCCGAGGCGCATGCCCGAATGCACCTTCGCGATAGCGTAGGGGACGAAGACCTTGCGCTGGCCATTCGAGTGCTGACTGAAAGCTTGTGCGATGCTCAAAAGTTCACCTTTAAACGTCAATGGCGACGCCTATTTCGGCCGTACCTGACGTACCGTCAGGACAACAACGTGCTGCTGCTCCACGTGCTCCACGAACTGTTTCAATCTGCGCATGCGTATGAGCAATTGCGTGTGCAAACTAAAGCACAATCAAGCCGTCGTGGTCACAAGGAGACGACGCTTACCGTCCTGCGTGATGATTTGCTTTCGAAGGCCAAGTCTGTCGGTATCTACGATCTCAGTGAGTTTTACGAGTCGGCAGCGTTTACCAAGGCAGGCTTTCGCATCGATGTCTCGACCAACACTATTGTCAAGGACATACAATAGGATAAAAGCTTAAAGGCAGAGTCATGTGCAAGTGAATGAAAAAAATAGAGCAAATGCACGATCGTGCTTGCTGGTAGTACAGTTCGCGCTACATCATGTTGATGTATCAGATGCCTCCATCTCCAGCATGGGCTCAACGAGAGGAAAAGACGCGCTTACTTAGTGCGAGAATCGTTTTGGAAGCACCGTTTTAAAAATCATGCTTATGGCCGACAGCTTTTCAATGTTTTGAACTATTCAGAGCAATGGCAAGACGATAATAATGCAACTGGAAAAGAGGACAGATTGCTAGACTACAACGTCACTGACGGCAATGTTTAAGCAATCTTGTCTATCTATTCGAATCAAGAGGTTTCGTGTACATTACAATTGAATGTTAAGCATCGTGCTCGAGAAAGATGTACATTAGATAGGGGAGCAAGCTCTGGAGCTCGTGCCTTGTAATAAGCAAAGCACGAGCTCCAGAGCAGGTCAAGACTTGTATATTCACGTTTCATTTCAAGTAGTTGGCGGCTAAGAAATGAGTTGTGTTCTGTGTGCTAGAAACGAAAGTGCAGATATATCTTTGTGTGTTAAAGGTACTTGTTGTTCCGAAGAGACGAATAGTAGAAAGGCAGGCGAATGACGATCCAGCTCGGTGCCGCTGTCACCCACAAAATGTGGTCGACGACACATCATTTATTCACGAACAAGAGAAATTAAATGGAAGGAGCTTCCGCTGCTACCATGAAAAACACGTGACCATAACCTCTTACAATTTCAAGTAATTTAAATCAAATCCGCTTACGCGTACTGTTTGCGAAAGTTGCAAGAACTTTGCTCTGCATACCGCGTTTGCTTGGTGGCCCTCTGCCCGCCCTTCATCACTTTTTCGCCGATCATATGTGTGTGTGAGCACCACATACTTTGCAGTCATATTTGATGAACGAATCAAGGAGTGACACCTCGGGCTCCGTCTAGCAACGACCCATCCCGTATCCTATCCCGCTCGGGATAAGATGCGGGATGAGACGGTCCCATCCCGCGCGTTCTGCACATTCCGCATTCGATGATTACCTTGCTATCTAACGTCGAGATTCCATTCGTTTTCTACGATCGTATAATTATATGGGAATGAGATAGCGTCAGTGAAAGCGTCATCTATTATACGTGAATCCATTACGTATAGATTATCACTATTCGACCTTTTTGCCAAGGCATGCATCAAGGTATTATATATGCTTGAATAGATAATTTGATTGCCCCTACCGACGATCCGATGGACTATCATATCGTACTAGGCCTCGTGTCTTCAATTTAGTGAAATGATTTCATGAAGTAGTAACCCGACTGCTCAAACGCCTCGCGAAGACGCTTAACAATTCCACCAAACGTCAAGATCGCTTTTGATCAATCGTAATCGCTTAAAATTTTGGCCAAGATCATGCTTTAGGATGTCGCTACTCACCAAACCCTACTGCCTTGTTATTGATACGTATGGTAAATGTTTTCAGCTTCGTTAACACCACGTTGAAAAGCCCCGCTTGCATGAGTACACCACCAGCAGTACTGATCAGGATAGAGTAGGAAAGGTATTTAGCTTCCATACTTGTCGTAGTAGGTAAGCATAGAATTCAGAGCGAAGTATTTTAACGTTTCTATTACTTTTATTCTTTAGTACGCTCAGCGCATATGGGGGCGATCACGTGTACGTGATCGGTCATTACGAAACATACGGGGTAATATGTTCAATAATCTCGTGCCGCTGTATCATGCGTCCCATCCCGTCCTGCGCGGGACGGAGACCTGATGACATCTATGAGGGGGAGACAGGCTATATAGTACTAAGTACGGCGTGTAAGGTACGCCTAGCTTAATTTACCGATAAACACACACATACAGATAACAGGTTTTCATATCGGCATTCACATTGCGATCACATAGTAAAAACAGCTTCACTCCTAGGTCCCACGATAGCTAGACCTTGTGTCTTCAGCGTGTGTGCCACACCAAGAGCAGCTCATCGTAGCCAATCGATGATGTACGTTAACGGATATATCCAATAGCACATGATGACGCTTATATCAGATTAAAACCAGATGACACCATCATGAATGTTGTTCTATCGACATACCAAGATTAGTACGAGAAACTGTGCGACACGCCATCCACCGTACTTGGCCTCCAGTTACTTTACCAGTGCACTAAAAGTGCTGGTCATAACGCTACGGTGATTCAGTAAACATGCGAGTCGTATGCGAATAAGAATAGAAGAGAGTGGTAACAGAGAGCAAACTTACAGCACTGTATACAAGAAGCATGGCATCGGGGGTAGCAGCGCTGCAATCAACGACATTACATTGCAAGTGTGTTGAGACCTTACACAAAATAGAACCCTTCTGACCTTCAGCTAATTTTTAGGAAAGATTTTATCGTAATGTGCTAATCGTTAGAGTGTATTTTCGGAATGGGCTTTATACTAGTTGTGTAAGATTAACGTTTTTCGTAGATTTTACAGAATCGTTGTAGATGGGTCGCTTATCAAAACGTTAAAGACACCGTGCGTCTAGCGGCAAGCTCTTGTCGTTTCAGACACAGTCATCAGTCGTGATATCTGGAAACACAAATACGATTGCGGCAAAGTTGTGTGGATCTTTCATTTTATATGTCAATCTTCCTTAAATCCGTTTAAATATCCACACGTTGCACGCAAATATTTAGCGTATTTTGAATGAAGCTAGCGAGCATCGATTCGTTGCAATGATACGATGATGCTTGTCTTTTCGCATGGATGCATATTAATTTGGCTCACTAGAAATGTAGCTGAGATGCCTCGGATGCAGATTGACTCCACCTGTTTTGGTCGAGCACTGGTTATTATTAGGAAAAACGAAAATTGACTCACGTCCTCGTATCCTCGAGCTAAATTAATACACATATACCGATATTGTGCTCCGATAAAAGGCCTTGACCTGATACAAATAACTTTCACACGCAATATGCTTCAGACGTCTGACTTTATAAAACAGATGAAATCCTTGATATAGGTCACGTCGATATATTCACCGAGACAGTGTAAACCCATGCTACGCCAGCGAATTGACTCTACATTCCGTCAATACATATTTGCAATGTGCAAATGGAGAAAGATGGGAGCCGAAAGGAAAACTTAGGTCTGATCTAACAGTTGTGTAGGTGATTAAACTTTCACAAGCACCACTAATTACTTCCAATTTGCTATATAAGTATACGTAAGTAGGTTTTAGCGCACCGACTCAACTTAGAAGGTGGTGGCACGATATATAACCGTTAGAGGGTCGCATGATAAGAACTGTCGGATGCAGCTCGACAAAATCTTGCTGAAATCCGCATTGTAGGCTTAATACCGAGTGTATTCATACCTTAGGAACTGTGACATGTATACTGGAATGTGTCAACACGTTGAACATATCAAATGTCTTGTTTTTGACGTAATTACATCTCACACTCTGCAATTCCAGCTTGTTGTCCTCGCAGGTAAATCTCAACAGCACCGACTAATCCGTGCAATGTCACAACAGCGTACCCATTAGCACTGGTGAAGCCTTTTCGAATCAAAAACTGAGTACTTGCCAGATCTGCGCAAATTTTACGATTTCTACAGTATATCCGAAGCTAATAGTACGCCTCAATCCGTGACGTCTGCATAGCAGGTATTACACTCAGCACTCCATCATGTGGCTATACGGTTCTTCTGACGTCGTAAGCGTCACAGCAGCTACATCATGAGAATACCCACGCAACTGACTTTTAAATGTGCTTTATTGTGCGTACAAACCGGCTTTACCCAGTTCTTCATTTCTTTAGCTGTACTTGATTATCAGAAAAGCTTTGACGCAGACGTCACTACCTCAATTTGCCTTGGTGTTATTAGCTCTTTCAGAGATTGTTATCCGGTGAAAGATCAAGATCGCCTTTCATGATCTCCATTTTGTCTTTCAGATAATGAAGAAATTACCAGCTTGCTTGTAATTGGACAGGTGACCTTCTGCCAGTACGAATCAGCGCTTTTTCCAATTGCCAACTCGGGCATGCAGGAACAGATAGATCATGGCGCCATCTTTAAACAGACACGACAAGGAGGATGCGGCACGTCCAAGTGTATTGCAGACGGCTGCGGTGACAAGTTCGCACTTACACGGTTTGTATAATCGATTACTTTGCGCATTGTAGAAAACGCACCTGTGCTGTTGTTGCTCATAGGATTGGAGCTCGGCCAGGAAATAAGGGATATAGTAAGATTTCAGCCGCGAATTGCACATAATACTCATTTTCAGCTTTGCCCGGGAAAATGGGTAAACGTAATGATAATTGAATATTTAAGATCCACTCTTGACGATATTGGGCGTATCTCTGATGACGAACCAGAATGCCTAGCCGAATAAAATTGAGCCCAGCCGTTCAGCACTTGTCTATTTATTTACCCTTATGTACACCTTGTACAATAGCAGCCAAAAGACCCCGGAAAGATCATGCTTTGTTGATGTTTTGGTACCTCTGGGCTATCTGTAGAAGCCATATACATTCCCCGCCCTAATATTTCTGCCCTGCGTAAAGAATGTATAGAATACACGTGTAACGGGGTGAATCGTTACATAACAATTTATAAGAAATTGTTAATAGAATATAACTATAAGAGTTATATTCTCAGAATATTGTCATAAGGACAATATTCTGTAGCACTTCCAAGTAGTCCCTAATTGGTTGATATAGGCCATTATATCAACCAACGAAGACGCGCCACGACAGACGCACGCAATGAGTGGTGAGCAGATAACTGATTTACACATTTGTATTTAGACATAGTTAGATGAAGATAAATAGTGATTTATTGCAGACATTAACTATTATAAATACAGTTCTACTTTTTACTCTAACCGAGTACTCGCTTCTTCTTACCGTCTTCCTCTGCACGTACGAGTGTACGTGAAGTTACGAGGCACCGCCTTATTCTGTTATCAGAATAAGTAGCTTGTACTGTC